TATGACGATGCCTCGATATTGCCAGGAGACTAATTTGCTGGCCGTGACTTGTAGTGAGATTTAGAACGTCTGTTTCATCTTGTTTGTGACTCGTCAGCGAGATGCACCTGTATTACTCGAACCCGTCACTTGGTTGCCATGACCGAATTTCAAGCAATATTGAGACGTCCGCACAGCAGCCCATATGTCAAATAGGATGAAACAGACTGACATCAGTTAGAAAACCACTGAAAGCCTAGGAAGAGTGGACAGCTGTGTCATCCTCAGTAGTACGCACTCACAACTTTCATGTTTTCACCACGAATGGGTTAACCATTGGGGAGCTCCATATTGGGATAAAACAGTTGACCAGAGCTTCCAAGCTTTTAATGGTTTTCCAACTATTGTCAGTCCATGTTGAATACTATTAAAATATCTGCTTAACATCTTCCTATCACATCACCTCCTTATTTACTCACTCGAAAACACATATACAGACATACATGAGAACAACAAAATCCATTATCACAACAGCTCTCTGGGGAGAAATAAGTTTCGGTTTGCTTGTCGCATCAATACCACTTGAGCAGGAAAAAATGGAGAAGAAAGAGGTGGATATGATGAAGAGGAACATGAACGGTTAGCAACCACCACAACGCTTCGACTTATGATGACAGTGACGTCAACTCCAAACACAAGTGAGTGAATACAAAGTGTAAATTAGACAAAGCAAGATAACCGGAAAAAAACATAAATCCATTTTTCGCAGAGTCAGCTTTGCTTCTCTAGGCAAGAGGAGATTCGCACATACACATCCATAGAAAATGATTCAGTTACTTCATATTTCGCATTACTTATAATCTAAATAATGATGTTACATGCCAAATGATTCGCAATGGAAAGCTCAGTAATGCCTCTGAAGTGAAAACATCAGACAGGAGTAAGACAAGGTTGCCACCTAGTATCACCGATCATCTTCCTAATTGTGGTCCACTCGACTCGACTCGACTGGATCATGCAACAAACAACTGTGCAGAGCAAGAAGTTGGCCATTTGCTAACTGAACCGATGAGAGGACACCAGAAGAACACTTGGATTTCGCCAATGACGAATTATGTCTAATGTCTTATGTCGCACAAACTCGAAGATCTACAGGCGAAAACTAACAAGTTTGTAGATGAGGCGAGGCAGCGAAGGAAGACGAGACATCCTTCAGGTGAACGTAGAGAAGACAGAGGTGATGAAGATACCCAATCAACATCAGCAACAACAGCAAGCATCAATCCCAATGAAAGGAAGGAAACGTGAAGGAAGTTGTCTCTTTCATCTACGATAACTAGGCAGGCCAGAATCGTTTCAACTACAGGCAGCACACGCATAGATGAAGATGTTAGAACCAGCTGACATCGGAAAGACAACAACGTAGGCCTTCATTAACTTGAAATCAGTGTGGAAATCTACTGCACTACACTCTACCTCACTCCAATCAGCATAGAATATGGACAACATCCCGATTCGAAACAACAATTCAGTCAAGTAAGTCAGTGCTTCCATGTCATGGTTGACAGACTTGGCACCACGTCACAAAATGCATTTCCAACCAAGTGAACACATACATCACATGAACACCTGCCACCTACACTCGCTCACTCGATAGTGACAGTGAGGATGGAGATCAGATGGTGAGAATAACAATAATAATAATAATAATAATAATAATAATAATAATAATAATAAGCAATGAGGAACTGTGGCTGGCTGGCTGGCTGGCTGGCTGGCTGGCTGGCTGGCTGGCTGGCTGGCTGGCTGGCTGGCTGGCTGGCTGGCTGGCTGGCTGGCTGGCTGGCTGGCTGGCTGGCTGGCTGGCTGGCTGGCTGGCTGGCTGGCTGGCTGGCTGGCTGGCTGGCTGGCTGGTTGAATGGGTGGATGGGTAGCAATGAATCAACCAACCCACAACCTATCGCTCAACAAATATGCTGAAGAAGAAAGTGGAGATGGAGATGGATTGGATCGGGTATAGTCTGTGGAGATGTTTTGGGGATATCACGCAACAGGTTAGGTCAGGTGAGGTGAGGTGAGACCAGGCCAGGCCGTTGAATGGAAGGCGAATGGGGAATGACGAGTTGGGCGTCCCAGCTGATGGTGACATGGAGGAGATGGTGTGGGGAATAAATGCAAGCTTGTGGGCAGTGTTGAAGTCAGGTTGAGAAGACTGGAGAGAATTGAGTGAAATGGTGACGTACTACTGAACTAGGAACCTAAAGCCAGGATAAAATAATAATGATAATGTATAATCTGAAAATAAGTGGATATTTTAAAAGAGAGAAACTTGAAGAAAATATTGTCGCAAAGAGCTGTTTGGATAGTTTCTGGTGGATTAGTTGGTATCAAAGCAATTACTAGCATCAAATGCACTGCCGACATTTTGCCACTTAACTTTTACACTGAGTGATTATTGTAAGGGGGTCATTATTTCAAACAAACAGTGCATGAAATGAGTAGTTTCAACAGAAATTTCCATTGATTTTGATATTTTTAATCAAGAGTAACACATTAAGCTTGCATAATAAGATGGTGGATATCGATAGTACATGAAATGAAATCATCTGTAGAAGCAGCGAACAAGAAAATAGCTATTTCGATTCGGTTTTAGTGTTCCCTCGCTTTCTTTCTCTAAAGAAAACCCTATGAACATAGTGTTATCTTTGTTTCATTTCAGTAACTTCTGATCTCCTCTTTTAATTATAACTTCTAATCGAAGTTTGTGTAACAAGTAAGGCTTGATACTATATATACAAGCCTGAACTGCTGGTATATAACTCTCAGGGTACAATGAAGTGACTGAATTCTATCCAACCTGAAAGTTCAGAAGACAATCGAGTGACGAAAATAACCACGAAGTTTCAAGCGTGATTTTCGAGTACTTAAGTGAATTCGATCAAGTAATTTTGTCTTACTCTTTCTTGACATTCTGCAATTTCAACCGTTCCATTTACACGGACGACACTGTCCTACTAGGTGAAGACATTGACAGAATTCAGCGTCTTCCGAATGCGTTGAGAAGAAATCTGAGTATGTCTCGCTGACATACGTTTCTCAACTATCAAATGTAAGACGCTATCCCACGTCTGGTCTTCAACTACTCTTACTTTAATGGTAGGGAGTGAAATAGTGGAACTCGTCGACCACTTCAACTACCTGGCGAGTTGCATCAGCCCGAACAGTCTTGTTGTTGAAGAAATCTCACCTAAGATACAGTAGACGCGTTTACCATTTGCCAACTTGCGTCATCTGTGGCGCCATCCGGTGAGATATCCGACTACTTGTTAAAGAACGAGCATACTACGCTGAAGTCCGTCCTATCCTTTTGTACGGCTGTGAGACATGACTGTTAGGGGATAGGTACTAGACAAAACAAGCAAGTCGATAGGTGAGGTTATGAACCTTAGCCGACTAAGATGTCATAAACATATGCTGCTCATGCCGACCTATCACCAACGTCGATATGCTATGCTAGGAGAAGTTGGATTAGATTGGAAGGGAGATCACGGTGATCAGACCAAGAAGTGTCACTAGTAGATGAAGTATTAGAATGTTCGTCTGAACTATGTTGGGGGTGATGTAGACTGCATGGCGTGGGGTCCCTGAGACAAAGGGAATCAGTGGTTGGGAACTGTTGGTGATATATCTGAAAATCGGTCACAATGGCGCTTGAATACTTGTACTAAGCATTATTTTTAAATTCTTTATTCTCTCTTACACAATTATGTCTACTTTAATATCAATTTTTTCATCCACCTGTTCTTTGTGTACTACTGTGAAGTGAGATAACTTCAACCAATGCACCTGTGTGTGAAGTTCTCTGTCTTTGAAATGCTGGAGAACAACAACAACGTACAAAATCAGTTGCGTGCAGACTCTATTCAAAAAATTGACAACACACTGCATTGTAGTATAACAACTTCATGGAGAAACAAAGAAAATTACTTGGTGTGTATCCTCAAGAAGGACACCTACCCATGAAACTTTATCAGAAGATGCCTATCCAGTACAACATCAACAACAAAGTCATCGACAGAAATCAACAAACGCATCATCCTACTGTACATAAAGAAAATGTATCAGAAATCACGACAAGATTACTGACACCACTTGATGGAATTGGTGTGGCTCATAAACCAACAAATTCCCTACAAACACTGTTATGCAGACCAAAGGATGCTACAACCAAAGAAGACAAATTGAATATTATTTACAAAATCAACTACAATAACTGTAGTCAACTCTACATTGGACAAAGTGGTCTCCCGCTTCGCCTTCGTTCTCATGAACACAAATTGGCTATTAAACGTCACACACGACATTTCGTCACTCATTTCAATGCACGTGGATAACAGCTATGGATATGAATTCAGTCTTGACAATGTAGAAATTTTGGAGGGAGAGAGGAAATACAAAGAAGAATTCCTAGAAGCTTGGCATTCAGGTCAGTCAATTAGCAATTAATGGAGAAATGTATAGACATAGACCCAATCTACCAATCAATAAGAAAAATGATAGAAGGCAGAAAGGTCAGAGGTGAAGCAGAGGAATAGCCATCAGGGAACTCTATACAGTCAATGACACAACAGTCAAAGGATACAACCAATCACAAACCAGTTCGTCAAGGCAAGCTACTAAATCACTCACGGAGAGATATTGACAGCTGACTTCATACTGAAGTTAGTGCTGATAACGTCGCTGTCTAGAAAGACAATGAAAGCTTCACGATTAAACAACCCAACTCAGAGAACACAATATAACCAAGAAGTTCTCTGTCTGTGTATTCCACTTTGACAGATTGACAGTAACGACCAATACATAAGAGAATCGAACTCAGTCTGCGACTGAAAGACACCAAAATCAACAAGAAAGGATAAAGAGAAAAACAGAGACAAAAAAATAAGTCGAATATAAAATGTACTTGACTATTTAGGTTAGTCAGTTGTACAAGTTTTCAAATAAAAACAAAATGTACTTACCATTTATGTTGACACTTCCAGTTTTACTATCTAAAGCGCATTCATGTTGTGCAGTAACTGAGGAGAAGTCTACAACAGAAAAAGGGAAAGAAGAGAGGAAAAAAACTAAAAAGCAATGTTGGTTGGCAAAGTGAACTTCGTAACTTTTGTAACCATGACTGATTCCGACAGAAAACACAGGTTAGAGAAGAATTCAAACCAATGGAAACAACCAGTGACTTCCCCCTGATTAAGAATAGCTGCATTTGAATTGGCCGATGCCTTTGTAACAAAGACCGAGTGCTATAGAACCACCATATTAGTAATATAGAAATCGAGGGTAGACTTTTAGGCAAGAGAGTTTGATTCAGGTGGTGGGGAGACGTATTACACAGTGCCAGTCAACGCCTACTCTAACCCGTATTAGTCGAAGTAGGTTTTTGTTGGAAAACATGATCCATACAGGGGAATGTAGACTGTCATGGTCCATCAGTGGTCAGCGTCTGAGAAGAGATTTCAGTTGCTTCTTCATATTAAATTTCATCGTTGACTTTCTACAACTTCCGACTGCTTTTTCCCAAATTTCTGGGTGCCTTATACTTTGATGTCTTGATCTGAAGTGTGACGACTTGAATTGTTATGTGGTAATACCAAGCCGCTTGCTAGTATTGGTCAGTTGACTGACTGACAATTGAACTGAGGCTAGGTTATTATTTTAGACAGAGTACGTATCTCTCATATACTAACTGGAATGAGACGATAGCTCAGTTTGACAGACCTATCTGTAACTTTAGTTGGCTTTAGTGCTGGACAGGTAACACGAAGTCTCCTGACTCCAACCCTGGAATAACGCTAACTACCACATATGTGTCCACATACCAAAGACCAACCTGTTGAACATTCAACTCTCAAGTAATCCTTCGTATCGATAAGTAGTGCTGAACAAGCATAAAACCTAGGCGGCTGAGCATTGGGACGGTAGTCGTTATATATGGTACACCTTGCACTAAAACCATCATTTGCATAATGTTCTTCGCTTCCTCTTCTGTTTCGCTCTTGATTTGCTCTTCATACATTCTTATCAGCAACACTCACTGTAATACGCCTGCATTATCCCTTGCATTGTCTTTGACAGAATCCTTAGCCATTGCTGGTAATTCTCTATGATTTCTATCACCCTCTAGACATATACTACTTATATTCATTCTTATCAGCGACGCCCACTACAATACTATTTTTATTGAACAATGAATATTTTCAGGTAACCAAAAATCAAATCAAATCAAATCAAACAAACAAGGAGATGAGCAAATTTATGTCTGTTTTAACCTTAATTTTACTGTTATAGTAGTATTCATTAAATTTAACTGACTAAAGGTTAATTGTACACCTTTGAAAATTCCATATGACAAAATAATTTTATTTTTTGTAGTTTAAAAAAACAACAACTCTACTAACATAAACATAGTTGACCTTGACACTTATATAAAAATTGTTAATTATCAATAAGAGAAGACAGATATCATTGATCTGATAAAATACATTAGTGGATTATTTGTATGTAAAGAAAAGAAGGGGAGGAATATGTTCAACTGTATCCAGTACATAGGGATGATAGATAATTTCAATGAATCGCTGGATAAAACGCGTAAATCTGAGATATCAATAAACGTTTGGTAGTCAAGTGGCCTTGTAATGTATTTAAAGCTTTGCTTATCTACTTCCTGACTTCGATTTCTAGACTGCTTCATCTTTTTTGCTGCTATGTAGCTTCGAGCAACAGCGTGCCTATAAGTGAGATGAGAGTCTACCAACAACTGGCATAACATTATAGTATCACTAAAGTTGATACTGGTTCCGCCTGCTAAGTCTATAGACCAAAAGAAGTATATGTCTGCTCTGAGATTCGAACAACAGGCATTTAGCCCCAAAGAGTGAAAGTCTCAATAACATGCTAGGAATCCTCCTCAATGTGGTAGGTTATCCACTACTCATTCTACTATTTATTGTTATCACAAATGAGAAAAGTGATTCAGGTTTATTTAGTAGACTTTACTGTCAACTAGAAGGGTAGGAGAGGTTCAAAACCTAGTCTAATCTGAGCTGCTAGTTATTGTCATTGTGCCATAAGCATAACTCATAACTCTTTGCAAAAACCTCTGCTAGGTCATACAATTATAACCGCGACTGGTCTTCAGTGGTGCCCCGGTTACCAACACAGGGTGAAGTGGTTAAGTGAGTTGGCTTCCGCCAACTTACCCCATTTGTGGAGTTACTGTGATATCCGTTTGTCAATTAAGGATCCAGTGTACTGAACTGCAGTTTGTTCTGTTCAACTGTATATCTGGGAAACATGTCATTACAAGTAGAGGACATGAGAAGGCTTGACCACCGTTGCCTTCGTAGCATAATCCGTGCATCATGAGTAATGCAGAAGTCAGACGTAGAGTTCTAGAGAAAAGAAGAAAGTCAGCTGATGTTTTTGTGAGCCTTCATCTACTGAAATGGGTGGTCACCGTCTACTTCGTCATACAATGTTGTGTCCCTACTGGTTGTCAACCAACTCACCGCAACAGTTGACTTGGCAGTGAACGTGGTTGACGAAATCCATATGCACTGACCGGTGGCACGCGTCTCCGAAGCACGGAGGGCCTATCTAACCGTCAGGATTCCACCCAGTACGCTGTGACCAGTACAACCGAAAGGTAGACGAATTCAGCTTCCTGACTGAAAAAGTCCCAAGAAGGGTGGTACATTTAGCCTCGCGAAGGTGGGAAGCATTCAATCTGGAATGCTAGGTAAGTTCGTTCTAGTTTTGACCTTAAAGACAGGTTGGGAACAGCCTCCCTTCGTCAAATCTTGGTGAAAAGGGTATAATCTTCTGGGAAGGTGAGCTGAATCTCTTTTGTAAGATTGTGGAGACTTCAGTGAGATGTATCTCAAGCACGTCTTCCCACAAGAAAAGTGGATATGGTCAAACGATCAGATTACCTGGAGAACATGGATACGCTGAAGCCCGATAGTTAGGAAGATTTTGGAATTAAACTGATCAATTTTGAGGGATCGTTAACACAATGCTCTGACAGCAGCATTTTCACGTGTTTACGTTGACTAAATGTTTCCTACTTGATGAGAGGACCGACTCATCAGGTTTTTGGATAATGGTGTCCAAGCAGACGATATTCGGCTTGAAAATCCGGAGAAATTTCTTTTGATTTTGATCTCGTGACATCAAAAGTTAAATCGAATCAGTTATTAGAATACGTCCCAGAGGTGGACGACTGTGGCGTCTCATATTCGTTGTTTCAGTTCAAGAAACACTTGTATGACAAGATTTCCATGTGGTTCAAAAAATGGAGATGGAAATGCCTTTTCAGTCAAAAAACAACAACAACATCATTGCATAGAAACAAGAATGTGCACTACGTACAGCCTCATCTCAACCTTGACAACATAAATATTTAAAAAGAGGTAATGAATAAAATTACCTATAACACGGACGGACATTTCAACCGAACTTCGACCATAACCATGTACAGCATGACATAAATAACGATTAGAATCTTTCAATGTAGCCGATTTTATAATATAAAATTGATCTTCTGATAATATTTGTGATGGTTGATCAACAGTATTCCATTGATAGAAGACAGCATCACCGGGACAGGTTAGATTCAAACTTTGTCCAAGACGTATTAAATAACCCTTACGAATTGGACTACGTGGTTGAAGAGAATCCGAAGGTGAATCTGGAATTTGAGAAGAAAAAAAACAAAATAAATACAATAATACACAAAGTTAAAGGAGATTTAAGCGTAAGAATAGTTTTAAAAAAAGGCTACAACTACAACATCGAACACAGAACACTGTGGGATCAGATTGGAAGCATGGTTTAGAGGTTTTGAGTCAGTGCTGAAGCTCTACACTCGAGTTGATAGTTGGTTACATCGATGTTCAATTCAAACATATGGCCTAGCCATTTATCACCTGAATAAACCAATACAACTGTTGAGCATGTTAAATTTGAAAAATGAACGCTTTATGCTTAAATTTTATAAATTTATCTTCCGAAAAATTATCGCTCACTTTTGCCGCTTTTAAGAACGCCTTTTTCTTATTGGTTAAACTATCACATTTTATATGTAGTATTCATCACGGATGGACATTAGTTAGGGAACCGTCGGAAATCTGGGAGCATCGAACAGCTCTTTCGTCCTAGTATGAGATTCCTCGGCAAAATGCACCCCCGACCCCACCCCACCGGGCTCGAACTCAGGACCTTTAGGTTTCGCGGCGAACGCGTTGACCATTCAGCCTCTGGGTCGGTTTTCAGTGGTTCATAGTTTCCAACTTTTGTCAATTCACGATACAGCGTGACTATCACCCAAAGTCTTCAGTTGACATTCGTTTCCCTTCCGACTCAGTGGCCGAATGGTTAGCGCGTTCTCTGTGAAACCGCGTCACCCTCAGCTAGGACGCCCAACTCGTCATTCCCCATTCGGCTTCCATTCAATAGCCTGGCCTGGTCTCACCTCACCTCACCTCACCTGACCTAACCTGTTGCGTGATATCCCCAAAACATCTCCACAGACTATACCCGATCCAATCCATCTCCATCTCCACTTTCTTCTTCAGCATATTTGTTGAGCGATAGGTTGTGGGTTGGTTGATTCATTGCCACCCACCCACCCATTCAACCAACCAACCAGCCAGCCAGCCAACCAACCAACCAGCCACAGTCCTCATTGCTTATTATTATCATTATTATTATTACTGTTGTTATTCTCACCATCTGATTTCCATCCTCACTGTCACTATCGAGTGAGCGAGTGTAGGTGGCAGGTGTTCATGTGATGTATGTGTTCAGTTGGTTGGAAATGCTTTTTGTGACGTGGTGCCAAGTCTGTCAACCATGACATGGAAGCACTGACTTACTTGACTGAATTGTTGTTTCGAATCGGGATGTTGTCCACATTCTATGCTGATTGGAGTGAGGTAGAGTGTAGTGCAGTAGATTTCCACACTGATTTCAAGTTAATGAAGGCCTGTGTTGCTGTCTTTCCGATGTCAGCTGGTTCTAATATCTTCTTCGCTTCATGTGTCAACTTGTTAGTTTTTGCTCGTAGATCTTCGAGTTTGTGCGACATGAGATATTAGGCATTTCATCGATCCAGCGTATGCCCATTAAATGAGTCATTTCAGATCATAAATATTACATCATAACTGGTGAAATGAAACAATTTATCCACAAACTAGTAATTATAGTAAATATTATGTATACAAGCTAAATTTAAGCCTGATAATCGAATCTAGTAACTAACACCTAGATTATTACCTATTTATGACAAAATTTCGACAAAAGTTCTCATAATTTAAATAATACTTCAACACCTTGATTTAGTTAAAACATAAAAAGTGGACAGAAAAAACAAACGAATTGAATAAATGTATGTCATCCTATTGAAATCTCAAGTTGTTGAAGTTGAATGAAGTTAAATGTAGTATGAATAGACAGTTATCTGTTGCTTTCTATTCTCCTTTCTCTCTCTCACACACACACATACATACATACATACATACATACACACTTGTATACATATTCTTGCTTTATAGCAAAAACAATTGAAAAAGTTGAATGAATACATTAGAACAGGAAGTTGGATAGAAGGTAAAAGATTGTGTATATCAAGAGAACAATTGAATAGTCTATTTTGTGTTCAGTCGAAGAAGATAACAAGACTAGAGAATTAAAAATTACTGTGATTGAATAAGGCATCAATTAACACATATGTAGGTATAAAGAAACACCTTAACACCTCTAATGTATAAATATGCATATATTCATATCGAATGTTTAAGTGAAATAGAAGACAGAAATTAACATACATTTCACGTATACCCTCCAGGTAGGTTAGGAAATAACTGACATGGATAGCACCAAAATGAGCTCAAGTAGGAGGAGATATGCTCCTAAAGCGTAAAGAGTGGACTTACTAACGCTAGATTATAGTTGCTACCTTGACGCAGTGATCGGACTTGTATATCACAATGTCCCGACGAACTATACTGGTTGGAATGTTTATTCCATCAACGTCCTACCATACCAGAAAGGTCTGTTATAAGGGTGCAAGGTCTAAGTTGTACTGCTGGCTAAACGGGAGTATGAAGGCAGTAAGATGTTTCTCTTGAATAGTCAGTGGCGTCACGCTGGTGCTACCTCACCAATGAGAATATAGAAGAGTTAGAAAAGGTAGACCCCAACAAACAGCATACTCGAATCAGCCCGTGGCATGCCAATGTCGACAACATGGGCCCATAATGAGATTCGAAAGCAGTACAACGAAATCTGTCTGACAAGCCTCAAGCAGATGTGTTTTACGTTCTGCGGTCACTCACTAACCCTTTGTCAGGTACCTCAACTGAAATAAGCTTTCCACGGTGTGGACATCTGGAGAGTTTCAACCACCATTTAGTTTTATGTACTAAGTTATGAGTAGCAGTTATTGCGTGAGGGCTTGTTATGCTAACTTATCGGTGAGGTTCATGTAAAAAGAAGTAGGTTTTAAACGTTGGGTCGGTTAGAATGAGACAGTCATCGAATTGGGCATGACAAATAAGAAGATTATGTGTAGATATATCTGAAATATTGCAATCCATTCTGAGTCATATCACTTGGAGTCTCCAAGCACCAGTTTCTACTGTCCCGTGGGCAACAGTCAACAATTCTACTTCAAAGTGGTTGTGAAAAGTTCGTACATCTGAGCAGTCGTGTGAATGTTGACCGAGACATCACACTCATGCTGGCAGTTCTCCTTTACATCCATGAAATCTGGTGTCTCAGAGATGTTGAAATACCTAATTCAGCGGCTTGTATTGAGAATGTAGTCCGTAACTTCCATCCTGTCTGCTGTTTGTCAGGCCTGGAAGTTGTTAAAAGTCAAGAGATGGTTAGCGCATGACAAGATGGGCTTGGGACAAAGATACTTATGTTAGAGTCAGCATCTATAGGCACTTCGAAACCGCGTGAATTGCGTCTTGGAAATCTTATACTTATTGGCTTGATATGAGCTCAAAAAGGATACGAATACTTTGTATTCTTTTCTTGCATCCCCTGTTGATAAACAGTAACACACACATAACCAAGGCTTTCATTCAAAGCATTTCATGAGACTAATTGTTAGATTATTCTCTTCGTAAATCTTTCCGGTTTTATTTTCTTATTGTTGATAATATTGTATTCTATAGCTTAGCTCTAAGTGTACACTTTGTAATTGGAGTTTGTGTTTAAAATGAATAATATTATATCCACTTTTGAAAGCGGTTAATACAAAAAACTTTAAGTAGCCAAGAGATTCGACTCAATTTGCTCGAATTCATTGATTTCTGTAAAACATCAAGGGGAAAAGTATAAATAAATATCGTGAGCTAACAGAAGTTGGAAATATGGAGCATTGGATTGTGACCCAGTGGCTCAGTGGTAACGCGCTGGTCGCGGGACCTGAAGGTCGCGGGTTCCATCCCTGCTGGTGGGGTCGTGGGTGCGCACTGCTGAGGAGTCCCATACTAGGACGAAACAGCTGTCCAGTGCTCCCAGGTTTCATTTGTTCCTCCAACTGATGTCAGTCTTCGATGAATAACAACTTGAAGTATAAATAAATAGTCAGTATTTCTAAGTGAATGTAAACAGAATGTTATGTGGCTTTATTGACGTAGCTGCTTGACTATTAACTCATGAATCTTAGAATCGAAGTTTATTCCACATATCTAGGTCTGATTTTAACTCATTAGTATCATAAGCATTCATAGTCTGATTTATAACCTATAAAATAAACTTGTAGCAAGTGAGTTGACTTACTGAAATGATTAACAAAATTTTGATATTGAGAGAGAAATTGGTTAGTAAATAAGTTTGAAATTATTGAGTATGTAATTCTTTTACTAGAGTGACAAAACTTGGTATCTGTAAATTACTAGTAAAGTATTAATTACGCTTGGTTGTTCAGTCGAGGAGGGTTCGAACCTAAAGCTTGGTTCGATTGTATTCTCTGACTTGAGTTGTTCAATCGATTGAACAACAACACAATACAACTAAGACTATCAACCTGAGCTAAAAATATTCTCCATTATTTCTAAAGTTGATTAATTCAAAACCAAGCATACAAACCAACAACGAACAACGGCAGGCAAAAAATGACCGCAAAAACCGAAGATGATATTCACTTAATCATCAAACTCGTTTAACAGTACAGGATGAAACAATCATAAAAACAATAAAGGGATCATGATACTTCTAGTTCAAATGTCTTATAAGACAGATTTTAAAAGAATATCTTCCTATCAGTAGTTCATCAAAAGACGCTGAAATACAAATACTGCCTTCGTGTGGAAAGATGAATACAAGCCAGATGGTCATAAAAATGGTACGGTATTACCACACCAGCCAAAAAATCCAAGAGTTAATACGTCTGTATCATTGTCACTGATTTTCATTCATGTCACCAACAGTCCTCAATCACTGGTTTCTATCATCTTAGGGACCTCAGCCAGATATTCTACACGTCCCATATGTCTCAGACCAACAGTCAGGGACTTCGTCTGGTCACTCTGAACCCTCTTCCAACACAACATAAGATAAGGAAATGGAAATGATCTGGTTAAAACGACGCATTATAAGGTAAACAAAATAATGAAAGTGAGGATGATGTAGGTATAGATGCATTTACATACCAATGATCAATTCAAACTAATG